TTCCAAAGATAATTATTGCGGTTTTGGGGGCTATGATTGAAGCCCCCAAAAAAAAAAAAAACGAATTTGGGGAATTCCAGAAAATGGTTTTATGTGGTCCGATTGATTTCACAAGAAAAGATAACAATTTAACAAGTGGGTTTTGGAATTTGTGGCCTTGAGAATCCAGATGGGTTATGCTTTAACATTTGATTCAGAAGATATATTTTTTGAGAATCAATAATGGGGCAGATTTGGGAAAAGAACTTACCAATATATATATAATATTGTTATTTTCCTTAGGTTCAATGCAACAAAAATGCCGGAATTTATCAGAGGGAAGAAAGTAGTTTTTGTGGGTGATTCAATGAACGGAACTCAATGGAATCAATGCTATGTTTGTTAATGGGTCATGACCAACATATCATAGATGGAGTATGGAAAAGAAGCTTGGGGCTGGGTCGATTATTAAACTCCAATCGATTCAGCAAGGTCTGTTCATCATCACCAAACGACAATACTTCGATTACAACAAGGAATTTTTATTGATAAATCTTATTTAGAAGTGTCTAATCCAAGTCCATGAAGAAATTTTTTAACCCACTTAGTCCCATGTATTTATAGTTTTATTCCATAAAGTCTTTTTTCTTGATTTACACTCTTTCTTAGACTCTTATACTCTTATATTTAATATTGATATTTAATGTTGGGGGAGGAGAGAGAAGGAAAATAACCAAGGCATAAGAAATTTCATACACAAATTAAATAACATTGATGTTATTATTTTATATTATTATATAATGTGAATATATTTTTAATTAACAACATATTAAAAAATAATGTAAACATTCTCTCTCATCTGATGTGAATATTCACATTCATGTCATCACGTATAGTCATGTTTGTATTCAAATAAAAGTTGAGGCTTGTGGTTGTGTAATTTGATGCAATGCTGATATGAACCTTAACATCACCTTTATCACACGTCATCTGATGTGAACATTCACATTCATGTCATCTAATGTGGACATTCACCCATCATGTACAGTCAATATTTGGATACATGGGAACTACTAAAACATAATGATAATCATTAAAGAACCATGTTTAATTTTTTTATGTGTAATATATATCAACATTAAATAGTGTTGTATAGTTAATGCATTTTTTTAGAGTGAAGATATGGGGAATAGGAATGATTATGGGTACTACCAAAACATAATGACAATCAACATTAATGGGCAGCAGATTGAGGGTGTTTTGGTCTTCTTACCTTAAATAGGACATAATGAAATAGTTAAAAAGAATATAAGTTGAATGGAATAAAACTCTTAGAAAGGAAACTTATCAAAAAAACTCCCTTACACAACAACATTGAAATTTATCATTGCAAACTATTTGCACATTTACTTTAAGAGAGGAAATTATTAAAATTACATAACTTCATTAATAGATTATACATAAGCAACAATTA